CACACACACGCACACCCACACAGACATGCACACACACACACAGACACGCACACCCACACAGACACGCGCGCACACACACACACACACACACACACACACCTACACAGACATGCACACACAGAGACACGCACACACACACAGACACATACGCACACACACACACGCACGCATGCACACGCACACACACAGACACACACACACACATATGCACACACACACATGCACTCACACACGCGCACACACACATACGCACACACAAATAGAATGAAATCAGAATTCTTAAATCTGCACTTCAGCACTTTACATTTGTGAGTGCACATATTGGTGCAAACGTGTGTGTGTATATATGTGTGTGTGTGTGTGTGTATGTGAGTGTGTGTGTTTGTGTGTGTGTACCTGTGTGTGTCTGTGTGTGTACGTGTGTGTATCTGTGTGTGTCTGTGCGTGTCTGTGTGTGTGCGTGTGTGTGTGAGTGTCTGTGTGTGTGCGTGTGTGTGTGAGTGTGCGTGTGTGTGCGTGTGTGTGTTTGTGTGTGTGTGTGTGACCTTGTAGAGATTTATAAATTCATGAGGGAGTTCAAAACTAGAGATCATATGTTTAAGGTGAGAGGGGAAATATTTAAAAGGGACATGAGGGGCAACATTTTCACGCAGAGAATGTTTCATGTGTGCAATGAACTGCCAGAGGAAGTGGTAGATGCAGGTACAGTTATAACTTTTAAAAGACATATGGACAGGCACATGGATAGGAAAGGTTTAGAGGGATATGGATCAAGGGTGGGGAAAAGGGACAAGCTGAGTTTGGGAAACCAGGTTGGCATGAGCGAGTTGGACCGAAGGGTCTGTTTCCGTGCTGTATGACTCTATGACTTTATAACACTGGTGCAGACTCAACTAGGGGCCTCACATTTTAGGCAGGATGGGAAGGCTTTGGAGAGGGTGAAGGAAAGATTCACAAGAATGGTTCTGAGGAATAAAGTTCTGCTTCTATTAGACTGTAAGATGTAGGAGAAGAAGTAGACCATTCAGCACATTGAACCTGCTCAGTCAGTCATTGGGATTATGGCTAATCTAATAATCCTCAACTCCACATTCCTGCCTTATCCCAATAACCTTTGACTCCATTACTTACCAAAACTCTGTCTATTGCAGCCTTGAATCTATATAACAACCCAACCTCGACAGACCTTCTGCAGTAAGGAGGTGAAGTGGGTAGGGCTGTACACCTTAGAGCAGTGAAGGTTGAGAGGAGATTTGAGAGGGTCGTTTGCAATTGGGAAGGGTCTGGACAGAGTAGAGAGGGAGAAACTCTCCCCATTATTGAGGACCAGAGAACACAGATGTAAAGTGATTCGCAAAAGCACCCAAGTCAATATTTTTAAGCAGTGGGTGGTGAAAATCAGAAACATTTTGCCTGAGACTCATAGCAATGATGGTAAATTCAATCCGGGCATTTAGGAGATGGTAGGTTCATTATCTGAAGAGATAATATCTGCTGAGGTGCAGGAGGACGTGGGAGAGAACCCAATACTGGAGAAACTCAGCAGGTCTGGCAGCATCTCTGGAAAGAAAGTTAACATCTCGAGTTCTGAAGAGGCATCATATCAGACTCAAAATGTTAACTCTGTTTTCTCTCTCTCCACAGATGCGGCCAGACCCGCTGAGTTTCTCCAGCATTCTCTGTGTTTGCTTCAAACTTCCAGCATCCGCAGTATTTTCCATTTTCTGGAAAGAGAGACCAAGTGGGTCTGCTGTTGCAGAAAGATAGTAACGACATGATGGCCCAAAAGGCCTCCTTCTATGCTAGCATTATTCCTATAGCTTTGTGATTCCATGATTCATTGTGAATCAATTGTGAGAGGTTCTGAAACTCACACATGGTTCACTCATGGGTAAAACAGCTTTGAGAGGCTTGTCATACTTACCTTCAAGTGTAAATATGAGAAAACGCTACCTGAGCTCCACCCACTTGGACACAAAACACCAGATGGATGCCTTGCGGTGCTAGACAGTTTTACAATTCTCAAGACCAAAATTAAATTTAAACCCTCACTCTGTATTCAGTGGCTCAAAAACACTGAAGCCACTTCCTCCCTTGACAAACAACAAAATGTTCAAAACCTAAAGATCATTTAACCTACACAACACAACCTTTGGCTGAAGTCCAAATATCATCATTTGCGCATTATACAGAGCCTGGCCAGCGGGCTTGCAAAATTAGCATGGCCAGGATCGATATTAAAACACCAACAATGTGCATTTATATAATGCCTTTGATGTAGTCAAAGCTTTAAAGCTCTTTGCGAAAGCAATTGTGTATGTGAATGCGCGTGTGTGTCTTTGTGTGTGTGTGTGTGTGTACGTATCTGTGTGTGTGCGCTTGTGTGTGTGTGTGTGTGTGTGTGTATGTGTGTATGTGCGTGTGTGTGCATGTGTGTGCCTGTGTGTATATATATGTGTGTGTGTCTGTGTGTGTGCATGTGTGTATGTGTGTGTATGTGTGTGTGTCTGTGTGTGTGCATGTGTGCTGCATGTGTGTGTGTGCATGTATGTGTGTGTATGTGTGTATGTGTCTGTGTGTGTGCATGTTTGTGTGTGTGTGTGCGTGTGTGTGTGTGTGTGTCTGTGTGTGTGCATGTGTGTGCGTGTGTGTGCGCTTGTGTGTGCATGTGTGTGTGGGCGCGCGTGTGTGTATATATATGTGTGTGTGTGTGTCTGTGTGTGTGCATGTGTGTTCAGAGAAGGTTTACTAGGCTAATACCGAGAATAAAAACAGAAGTGGCTGGAAAAGCTCAGCAGGTCTGGCAGCATCAATGGAGAGAAACCAGAGTTAACATCTGGGGGCAAGTGTCCTTTCCTCAGAGTTGATTTACAGCATCTGCAGTTCTTTCAGTTTTTATTTAATACTGGAATGAGTGGATTACCTTATGATAAAAGACTAGACCTCGGGAATTTAGAAGAGTCAGAAGTGATTTAATTGAAACATACAAGATCCTGAGGGGACTTGACCAGTTGGATGTTGAAAGGATGTTTCCTCTTGTGGGAGAATCTGGAACTAGGGGCTCACTGTTTAAAAATAAGGGGTACCTGAAAACATGAGATGAGGAAATTATTTTTTCTTTCAGGCCTGAGAGCATTTGGAATTCCCTTCCTCAAAAGGCAGTGGAGGATGAATCATTAAATATGTTTAAGGCAGATTCTTGTTTCCCAAGGGGATGAAAGGTTTTCAGGGATATACAGGAATGTAGAGTGAGGGTTAAAATCAGATCAGCCATGATCTTACTGAATGGGAAAGCAGGCTTGAAGGGCCGACTGGCCTACTCTTGTTCCTTGTTTGTTCATCGACAGAATCCTTCAGTATTATTGCATGGTTTTGGATCACGCTTCCTGCAGGAAAACGAGCTGCGTGCACCCCATCCACCACCTCGCTCCTAACCTTGTTTTGCGTCTTGTAGGCGTGAATTTCCAAAAACCTGCACCCCAAGGTCATCAGAGATGCAAGGCAGAAGCTGCAATCTCACTGTCCCGTTTTTCGCTGCTGCACAGACCTTTAACTTGACTCTGCTCTGCCCAAGCTCTGAAGCTAAGGTTGCTGTAGTCTGGATTCCAAATTTCAAACCGTTTCACAACAGTAAGTGGAATTCAAATTTCTTCATAATAACTTTCTCTTCTTGTTGCAAACACACACTAGATTGTAAATATTTTCTAATCAATATGTTCAGAGACATTATTTTGCACCTTTCGAGCAGTTGAGACTTGAACCCAGGTGCCTAAGCTCAGAGGTAGGGTCACAGCCAACGCACTACAAAAGATCTTTCCTACTAGATTGTATATTGGATGTTGTCTCCCTATGTATTGTTCTATATATTTAAATAGTACATATCTGATGGACATCTTTACGGGAGTTTAAGAGTCATAGAGTCATACAGCATGGAAACAGATCCTTCAATCCAACCAGTCCATATCGACCATGTTCCCAAACTAAACTAGTCCCATCTGCGTGCGCTTGAACCATATCCGTCCAAACATTTCTTATTCATCTACTTATCCAAATGTCTTTTAAATGTTGTAACAGTACCCACATCCATCACTTTCTCTGACAGTTCATTCCACGCGTGAACCACCCTCTGTGTAAAAAGAATTGCCCCTCATGTCCTTTTTAAATCTCTCTCCTCTCACCTTAAAAATATGCCCCTTAGTTTTGAACTCCCTCGCCCTAGGGAAAAGACCCTTGACATTCACCTTATCCATGCCCCTCATGATTTTATAAACTTCAATAAGGTCACTTCTCAACCTTCTACCCTCCAGCGAAAAAAGTCTCAGTCTTTCCAGTCTATTTTTATAACTCAAACCCTCCAGTCCTGGCAACATCTCAGCAAATCTTTTCTGAACCATCTCCAGTTTAATAATATCCTTCCTATAACAGGATGGCCAGAACTGCACACAGAAGAGACCTCACCAACATTAAAAACGAGGCTATTCAGCCTATTGAGTATGCTCTACCATTGAGTAAGATCATGGCTGATCTATTTGGTGCTTTAACTTCACCTTACCACCCCAAAACCTTCCTTGTCAATCGTAAAATGTCTAACTCAGCCTTGAATATATTTAAAAGCCCAACTTTAGAGTGGGAACTTCAAAGATTAATGACCCTATGGAAGAATAGGAATTTCCCTATTTTGAAACTGAGCTCTCCACCCGTGGTTCCACCCACTTGGCATCTATCCTGTTCAGGACCTTGGGAATATCATATGTTTTAATAAGATCACCTCTCAATCTTTGAAAGACCAATGATTATTGGGCCAACCTGCTCAACCTTGTCTCACAAGATGAGCCCTTCATCCCAGGAATTAACCAAGTGAGTCTCTTGACCACCACCAACTCAAGTACCCCTCACAACTAAATAAAGAGGCTTAAATTGTATACAGTTCTCTCAGTGCAGTCCAACCAATGTCCAGCACGCCTTCAGCAAGACATCAGTATTTTTATTTTCCATCCCCCTTGCAATAAAGGCCAACATTCCAATCCACCTTCCTAATTACTTATTATACACGCATACTAACCTTTTGTGATACACCTTATAGGGAGAGGTGAATAAGCTGGGGTTTTAGTCCATGGAGTGTTAGAGGCTGAGGGGTGACCTTATAGAAGTTTATAAAATCATGAGGGGCATGGATAGGGTGAATAGCCTAGGTCTTTTTCCCAGGGTCGGGAGAAACTAAAGGGCATGGGTTTAAGGTGAAAGGAGAAACATTTAAACAGGACCTGAGGGGTAACTTTTTCACACAGAGGGTGGTGCATGTATGGAATGAGCTGCCAGAGGAAGTATTGGAGGCTGGTACAATTACAACATTTAAAAGGCATCTGGATGGGTACATAAATAGGAAGGGTTTGGAGGGACATGGGCCAAATGCTGGCAAATGGGACTAGGTCAAATTGGGATATCTGGTTGGCGCAAAAGAGTTGAACTGAAGAATCTGCTTCTATGCAGTATGACTCTATAACTCTCTGCAGATATTTCAATCTTTTAAGTTAACCCTTTGCTTTTCTTTTACTGTGACTAAACCCCTCATGCCCAATGCACTGGTGGAAAAGATTTGTCACCGTTTACCAACTCAAAACTGTTCTGAATTATGAGAGCCTTATTATAACTTCTTAACCTTTCTGTTCCGGCAAGAAAAAGCCCCACATTTTCAGAATGGCATGCAATGTTCTAACTGTGGCTCAACCACCATGAGGTACAAATCAAACATCATTTCCTTGATTTTAAATTCAATGCAACAGTGTGAAGAGAAAAACAAAACCTATTTGACTTTTTAATGGCCTTTCGCTATCTTAGGGCGCCACGGTGGCTCAGTGGTTAGCACTGCTGCCTCTCAGCACCAGGGACCTGGGTTTGATTCTCCCCTCGGGTGACTGTTTGTGTGGAGTTTGTACATTCTCCCTGTGTCTGCGTGGGTTTCTTTGGGGTGTTCCGGTTACCTCCCACAACCCAAAGATGTGCAGGTTAGGTGGATTGCCCATGCTAAATTGCCCCATAGTGTCCAGGGATGTGCAAGCTAAGTGGGAAATGCAGGGTAAAAGGATGGGCCTGGATGGGATGTTCGTTGGAGGGGTAATGTGGACTTGATGGGCCAAATGGCCTGCTTCCATAATGCGGGAATTCTGTGGGCTCCACTTTTAAAGATTTAAGTCAATGTACAGCAGTATTTCACTCTGTTACTCTTACTATGATGGGTCAACTGTCTTTAACTGAGGGTGAATTTCTCCAGCACTTTGGAAGGTTAGATTAGAGGGGCAGTATGTAGGTTTACTTGAACAATACTGGACTCCAATGATTAAATTATAGATAGAGACTACACAATGTCAAGTTTCTTTCTCTTGCTTTTGAAGATTGCAGGGCATTTTGACCAGAGCTTTCAGACATTAAGGATTACGTAGAGTAGCTGGAAGATGTCTTGTAACATAGTGCTAAACTTCCCTGCTTCTGGGCTAGAAACTCCCAGTTCTAGAACACCCAGTTCTAGATTCTCCCATGGCAGGAAACATCTCCACATCTACTGACTGGGTCAAGACTACTCAGGAACGGATATGTTTCAGTAAAATGACCTCCTACTCTCACTCAACCATGAACATCAAGCCAGGGGATCAACTCTGGTTCAATGGAGAGTGCAGGAGGGCATGCCAAGAGCTGCACCAGGCATACCTGATGATGAGGTATCAACCTGGTGAAGCCACCAAACAGGACTACTTGCATGCCAAACAGCGAAAGCAGCAAGTGATAGACAGAGCTAAGCGATCCCACAACCACTGGATCAGATCGAAGCTCTGCAGTCCTGTCACATCCAGTCATAAATGGTGCTGGAAAATTGAATAACTTACTGGAGGAGGAGGCTCCACAAATATCCCCATCCTCAATGATGGAAGAGCCCAGCACATCAGTGCAAAAGATAAGGCTGAAGCTTTCACAGCAATCTTCAGCCAGAAGTGCCGAGTGGATGATCCATCTCAGCCTCCTCCCAAGGTCCCCAGCATTACAGATACCAGTCTTCAGCCAATTCGATTCATTCCACCTGATATCAAGAAATGGCTGGAGACACTGGATACTGCAAAGACTACGGGCCCTGACAACATTCCGATAATAGTACTGAAGACTTTTGCTCCAGAACTTGCCGTTCCCCTAGCCAAGCTGTTCCAGTACAGTTACAACACTGGTATCTACCCCACAAAATGGAAAATTGCCCAAGTATGTCCTGTACACAAAAAGCAGGACAAATCCAACCCGGCCAATTACCGCCCCATCAGTCTCCTCTCGATCATCAGTAAAGTGATGGACGGTGTCAGTAACAGTGCTATCAAGCAGCACCTACTCAGAAATAACCTGCTCAGCGATGCCCAGTTTGGGTTCCGCCAGGGCCACTCAGCTCCTGATCTCATTACAGCCTTGGTTCAAACACAGACAAAAGAGCTGAATTCCACAGGTGAGGTGAGAATGACAGCCCTTGATATCAAGGTGGCATTCGACCAAGTGTGGCATCAAGGAGCAAACTGCAATCATTGGGCATCACTGGAGTTTTGGAGTCATACCTAGCATGCAGGAAGATGGTTACGATTGCTAGAGGTCAGTATTGTCAGCTCCAGGACATCTCTGCAGGAGTTCCTCAGGGTAGTGTCGTAGGCCCAACCATCTTCAGCTGCTTCCTTCCATCATAAGGTCAGAAGTGGGAATGTTTGCCAATGATTGCACAATATTCAGCACCATTCATGACTCCTCAGATACTGAAGCAGCCCATGTTCACGCGCAACACGATCTGGACAATGTCCAGGCTTGGGCTGACAAGTGGCAAGTGACATTCACACCACGCAAATGCCAATTAATAACTATCTCCAATAAGAGACAATCTAACCACTGCCCTTTGACATTCACTGGTGTTACCTTCACTAAATCCCCCATTATCAACATCCTGGGGATTACTATAGACTAGAAATTCAACTGGACTAAACAGTGGCTACAAGAGCAGGTCAGAGGCTAGGAACCCTGCAGTGAGTAACTCACCTCCTGACTCCCCAAAGCCTGTCCACCATCTACAAGGCACAAGTCAGGAGTGTGATGGAATACTCCCCACTTGCCTGGATGGGTGCAGCCCCAACAACACTCAAGAAGCTCAACACCATCCAGGACAAAGCAGCCTGCTTGATCGGCACCACATCCACAAGCATCCACTCCCTCCACCACCGACGCTCAGTAGCAGCAGTGTGTACTATCTACAAGATGCACTGCAGAATTTTACCAAAGATCCTCTGACAGCACCTTCCAAACCCATAACCACTTCCATCTAGAAAGACAAGGGCAGCAGATACATTGGAACACCACCCCATGCAAGTTCCTCTCCAAGCCATCCTGACTTGGAAATATTTTGGCTGTTCTTTCACTGTCACTGGGCCAAAATCCTGGAATTCCCTCCATAATGACATTGTGGGTCAACCCACAGCAGATGAACTGCAGCAGTTTAAGAAGGCAGCTCACCACCACCTTCTCAAGGGGGCAACTAGGGACGGGCAATAAATGCTGGCCCAGTCAGCAATGTCAATGTCCCATGATTGAATAACAAAAATAGCTTTCCTACTTACTTGTTGTTGCTGGATACTCATCTTCCGCGATTCATACATGAGGACGCCTAGATGTCTCTTCATCTCAGAACTGTGCAACTTCTCAACATTTAGATAAAATGCTACTCCTCTCCAGCCCCCTATCTTGCACTTCTTGAAAATCTTCCTCTTTAGCCTTGTGTCTGGTCATCCTTTATGCTCAGTGTCACAGTATTTTTATGATGATCCAGCAAAATGTCTTGAAACTTTACATTACAATAAAATGTGCTGCATAAATTATAAGATATAAATTGTTGCTGTTATTTAAGACCTCAAATCTCTATATAAGATTGAAAAGTACCATCCATTCTTGAAAACTTTATAATTGAATTTGTTACAGCATTACTGAATCCCCTACAATGTGGAAGCAGGCCATTCAGCCCATCAAGTACACACTGCTCCTCCAAAGAGCATCCTACCCACACCCTGCACTCCCCATGGCTAATCCACCCTAGCCACTACAGGGCAATTTAACATGGCCAATCCACCTAACCTATCCATCTTTGGACGGAACCTAGAGCACCCAAAGGAAACCCACACAGTCACGGGGAGAATGTGCAAACTCCACACAGACAGTGGAATCAAACCCAGGTCCCTGGCGCTGTGAGGCAGCAGTGCTAACCACCAAGCCACCGTGCCACCCCATTTTGGCTTAATCCCAAATTGTGAGGACAGTTAGCCTGTCAATATCATGTCTCTCAATCAGTGATTTGGCTTAAATTGCAAAGATTAGTTCCTGCAGGGATCTCAGAAGCAACAAAACTGAACTTTTCCTGCTTCAGTCTTTGTTTTATTCTTGAAGTGAAAACATTTTACAACAACAGCTTAAAAACTACTGACATCTGATGTTTTTCTTTTCTTCCTTGCAGTTAAGATGAAACCACCGTTCAACCTAACAGTCACCAATAATTCCCAGACTCAGACCGATTTCAGCTGGATGATACAGTATGAAATGCATTTCAGTGATAAACTGCAAACTGAATTGCGATACAAAACTGAGGATGAACAGTGGACAGTACGTAGATTCATATCTTTGATAGTCATGGGCCAATGTTTCAACAAGGTTTTGTTGGGTTCATCATCGTCAAAGACACATAGATTGAGGGGAGATTAGATAGAGGTGTATGAGATTATGACAGGTTTGGATAAGGTAGTCAAAAAAATCCAGTTCTGATTAGCAGATAGTATAAGGACATGGGAACTCAGATTTCAGATCTTGGCAAAGTGATGCAGGAACATGCAAAGAAGAAATGTTTGCGCATGTCAAGTGGTAATAAACTAAGGTACATATGAGAGTGGTGGAGGAAGAGATGATTGAGGATTTCAAAAGGAAATTAGACAGGCATTTGAGGGATATAACCTTTCAGGACTATGGAAATAGAGTGGGGGAGCAGGACTAATTGCCTTACTTACTACCAGGCAGCAGAATTAGCTAATAAAGCACTTCTTTACCATTCCAGTCAAGAAGCAGGGCCAGAGACAGACAGTCCAGGCCCCAGGTCCTTATCTCCAGGGGAGTAGGAAGGGAGCAGGGCCAAACTACGGTGTTGGGTTTGACTAACACAGACCTTCCATACAGCTCTGGCATACTCTCTGGACCTGCCCCATGTTTGGGAATCCCACAAAAGTGAGGGTCAGAAGCAAGTTTCCTTTCAGCTAGGTTTTCCTTCTCTCCCAGCCTCAATTGTGTATAAGTTTTAGGGGAGAGAGGGGGAATTGTGTGTGTGTGTGTGTGTGTGTGTGTGTGAGTGTGTGCGTGTGTCTGTCTGTCTGTCTGTGTGTATCTCTGTATGTGAATGTGAGTATGTGTGTGTGTGTCTGTATGTGAGTATGTATGTGTGTGTGTGTGTGTGTTTGTGTCTCTGTATATGAATGTGTGTGTGTTTGTGTGTGTGTGTTTGTGTCTCTGTATATGAATGTGTATGTGTGTGTGTGTATGTGTGTGTGTGAGTCTTTCTGTATGTGAATGTGAGTGTGTGTTTGTGTCTCTGTATATGAATGTGAGTGTATGTGTATGTGTGTGTGTGTCTCTCTGTATGTGAATGTGAGTGTGTGTGTGTGAGTCTCTCTGTATGTGAATGTGTTTGTGTGTGTTGAGGGCACAAGGGGTTGCGGGTTAAGGTGGGAGAAATATTCGTTTAGTTGCATTTGGGAGGGAGTTGGTGCCACAGATAGAGGGCAGGCTTCCTTCCTTTCTGTCCGAACCTGGTCTGGCCTACACATGACTCCAGACCCACAGCAATGTGGTTGACTCTTAACTGCCTGCTGGGTAATTGGGAATGGGCAATAAATGCTGGCCCGCATCTCATGAATGAACACAAAGAATTCCAGACAGAGATTGATAGATTTCAAAGAGGTTATGAGTTATGGAGCTAGTGCAGGAAAATGGTATTGAGGTAGAGGATCAGCTATGATCCAGTAGAAGGGTGGGATCAGCCTCGATGGGCCTAACTGATCCTATTTCCTCTGCTCCTATGATACCCACCAGACAATCAAAGTGGTGACAAGGAGCTGCTGCTCATCCAGACCAAAGGTTAATTATAGAGTCATAGAGTCACATAGCCCTTCAACCCATCACGTCTATGCCATCCAACAAACATCAAACTACACTGATCCCATTTACCTGCACTTCGTCCATAGTCTACTATGCCCTTGCATTTTAAGTCTTCCCAAATCTCTGTCAAAGCCTCTCATAATTTTGCACCCTTCAATCAGACTCCCCCTTCAGCCTCCTCTGCTCTAAAGAAAACAGACTCAGCATATTGAGTCTCTCCTCAAAACTGAGACTTTCCATCCCAGGCAACATCCTGGTGAATCTCCTCTGTAGCTCCTCCAGTGCAATCACCTCCTTCCCATAGTATGGCCACCAGAACTGCACAGAGTATTCCATCTGTGGCCCAACCAACGCTTTATAATGTGGTAACAAGACTTCCTTGCTGTTGTATTCTAGGCCCCGGCTAATGAAGGCAAGCATCCTGTGTGCCTTCTTCACCACGCTATCCACCTGTGCTGACATCTTCAGGGTTCTATGGACTAGCAGACCAAGGTCCCTTTGTTATTCAGTACACCCTAGGAATCTACCATTCATTGTGTATAGTCTTTCCTTATTAGACCTCCCAAAATGCGTCACTTCATACTTACTGGGGTTAAATTCTATCTGCCATTGGTCTGCCCAATTTACTAGCTGGTCAATATCAGGCTATAGCCTGAGACCATCCTCCTCATGACCAACAACACCTCCAATTTTCATGTCATCTGCAAACTTACTAATTAAACCCTGTATGCTCACATCCATTGTAGATAACAAACAGCAAGGATCCCAACAAAAGGTGTTTAGCAGGCTTGCCTTCATTGCTCAGTCCTTTGAGTATAGGAGTTGGGACCTTATGTTAAGGTTGTACAAGACACTGGTGAGGCCTCTTCTGGAATACTGTGCCAAGTTCTGGTTTGCCCAGTTTTAGGAAGGAAATTATTATTAAGCCAGAGAGGGCTCAGAAGAGATTTGCCAGGTATGGAAGGTTTGAGCTATATGGAAAGGCTGGATAGGCTGGGAGAGAGAGAGATAATAAGAACTGCCGATGCTGGAGAATCTGAGATAACAAGGTGTGGAGCTGGATGAACACAGCAGGCCAAGCAACATCAGAGGAGCAGGAAAGCTGGTGTTTCGGGTCTGGACCCTGGTCACCTTGTTATCTTGGATAGACTGGGACTGTTTTTCACTGGAACCTTAGGAGAATGAGAGATCATCTTATAGAAGTTATAAAATCATGAGGGATATAGATAGAGTTAATGGTAGTTGTCTCTTCCATAGAATGTGGGGATTTCAAGACTAGGGGGCACATTTTTAAGGTGAGAGGGTAGAGATTTAAAAAAGACATGAGGGGCAATTTTTTTACACAAAGGGTGGTTTATTTGTGGAATGAACTTCCAGAGGAAGTGGTGGATGTGGGTACAGTTACATTTATAAAATATTTGGATAAGTATATGAATAGGAAAGTTTTGGATGGATGTGGTCTAGGACCAGGCAGGTGAGACGAGTTTAGTTTGGGATTATGTTTGGCATGGACTGGTTGGAGTGCGGGTCTGTTTCTGTGCTGTATAACTCTATGACTCTATGAAAGGGCTTATTTCAGGAGCTGTGAATACTGTCCAGGAACAATCCAGCTCCCTCTTTAAAATTAAGTCACGCGAGCTGCTTATTTTTGGGTTTCGAAGACAGCTAATTTCTGATCCTTGTGAAATTGATTGAAGATAGAGAACCTTTTCATACCCTCTCAGTCTTTGTGACTGACAGAGATCAGTTTACAGTTCAGCACCAGACCAGGTACCTGTGGAGAATCAGTGACCCATCGTGCTGTCTCAATTTCTAGAATGCCAGGAAGCTTCACATTGTGAAATACAAACAACAGGCATCGATTGACGGGTCTAATCTGAAACCTGACCATCTATACATAGCGCAAATCCGCAGCAAAGTAGTGGATGACAATCCAGATGACTACAGGAGTACGTGGAGCGAATGGAGTCAAGAGGTCAAGTGGAAATCGGCAGTACTCACACACTCGGATGGTAAAGACAAGATTCTACTGAGTCTCCAGCGCCCGTAAACGCTGTAACATAGAGGTTCTAATGCAGGATATGTGTTTGAAATCTTGCCGGATAATTAACAGGGATTTCACAACAATTCATATTTCTTTTCACCATCAAAGATATCCAATATAAATCCAGTCCCATTTGCCAGCATTTGCCCCTTATTCCTCTAAACCTTTCCCATTCATATACCCATCCAGATGCCTTTTAAATGTTGTAATTGTACCAGCCTCCACCACTTCCTCTGGCAGCTCATTCCATACACACACCACCCACTGTGTGAAAAAGTTGTCCCTTGGGGCCCTTGTATATCTTACCCCTCTCACCTATGCCCTGTAGTTTTGGACTCTTCCACCCTGGGGAAAAGACCTTGGCTATTCACCCTATCTATGTCCTCATGATTTTATAAACTCTATAAGGTCACCCCTCAGCTTCCGACACTCCAGGGAAAATAGCCCCAGAGTATTCAGCCTCTCGCTTTAGCTCAAACCCTCCAACCCTAGCAACATCCTTGTAAATCTTTTCTGAAACCTTTCAAGTTTAACAACATCTTTCCTATAGCAAGGAGACCAGAACTGAAAGGTAGTAAGAACTGCAGATGCTGGAGTCAGAGATAACACAGTGTTGTGCTGGAGGAGCACAGCAGGCCAGGCAGCATCAGAGGAGCAGAAAAGTTGACGTTTCGGGACGGGACCCTTCTTCAGAAAAATGAAAAACGGTCCCGACCCGAAGCATTAGCTTTCCTGCTCCTCTGATGCTGCCTGGCCTGCTATGTTCCTCCAGCTCCACACTGTGTTAGACTAGAATTGAATACAATTTTCCAAATGTGGCCTAACCAACTGTCCTGTACTTGTTGACCACACAACAGTTGACTGTCACCTTGTTAAACCCTGCCAAAGCCCCTGATGGCGGCCAGTAAGAATGGAAGAGACTGTTGACCATCCATACTGCAGGAGGCAGTGGCACTCACACTCCGATGGCCCAGCCCTCAGGAATGTGGGAAGGAGCGTGTTCAGGCTGTGGACAGTTCTAATCTTGCTTTGCTAATGTCTTGAGGACATGAACAATTCCGAGCACTCTCTTGCTGAGAGGTCACTGGCGCATGGCATAGCAGAAACATTCAGGCCTTCATCTACCTCCTTTCTCAATTCTTTTCCAGGTATCTTCAGAGTGACCCAGATCACGTCTCTGTTATTTGCGGGAATCCTGTTTGTGTTAGCCATTTTGGCCATCTTGACCTTTAGACAACTGACCATAAGAAGGTAAAGATAGCCTGAGATGTTGATGCTTAATTCGGTGATGGCACTGTAGACTCTTTGGCTACTGAGGAGCAGTTTATCTCTTCAGCACCAGCAGCTCAATCATAAATACCGCCATCCATCACTTATTTTTCACATTGTTAGAAGTAATGAGCAGGGCAAACTCTCCTCACAGTTTGGTAGCCCAACTCACTTGACCAGCAACTAAACAACAAGGGAGGAGAATTAATCCTTATCCCAAAACTTACGTGTTTCTTACCATCCTAAACACATCTTATAGTCAGCACTGCTGCCTCACAGCGGCAGGGACCTGGGTTTGATTCCATCCTCGGACTATCTGTGTGTAGTTTGCACATTCTCCCCGTGTCTGTATCGGTTTCCTCCAGGTGCTCCGGTTTCCTCCCGCAGTCCAAAGGTCTGCAGAATAGAGTGGATTGGCCGTGGGAAATTGCCATAGTGCCCAGGGAGGTGCAGGTTGGGTGGCCAACAATGGTCAAGCTCTGATGAGGAGTCATCGAAACTCAAATCGTTAGCTTGTTCTCTATTCACGGATGCTGCCTGACCCACTGTGATTTCCAGCATTTTTTATTGTTTTCAGTCAAGCTGTCATTCTGGACTCATTTGGCTTATAAGATAATAATCACAGAATCTCACCATAGCCTCTACATGTGCTGAAATGTTTTTGTATTTCCCTAACTTTTCTTTAATAAAGCAGCTCTCTCTCTCTTCTTTGTTCTGTTTCTTTCCTTCGTCTCCTTCATTCTCTTCCTCTCGTCCTTGAATCTCTCCCTCTCTCTTCCTCTTTCTTTCGAGTGTCTGCCATCACGCACTCGGAGATAGTAAGAACTGCAGATGCTTGAGTCAGAGATAACACACAGTGTGGAGCTGGTGGACATGAAACGTCAACTTTCCTGCTCCCCTGATGCTGCCTGGCCTGCTGTGTTCCTCCAGCTGTACACTGTGTTTTATCTCTGCCGTGACACAGATGGTAGCATTGGTGCCTTCTCAGTCAGGAGGTTGGGCCTTCAAATCCCGCAGCAGGGATAAAGGTGGCACTACAGTATGGTACTGAGGGACTGCTACATGGATGTTACATTCCGAATGTAACATGCTAAACTAATGCCTCTTCCTCTAAGAAATCCGATTGCACTGTTCCAAAGAATAGGGGAGTTATCCCCATTATCCCGGACGATATCCTGAACTCAAAATTAACGTCACTAGAAACAGATTATCTGACCATCGTCACATTGCTGTTAGCAGGAGCACAAATTGACTGCCATTGCAACAAAACGTTTTCATTGGCTGTAAAGAGACGCCCAGTCATCATGAAAGGTGCTATATAAATACAAAATCTTTTTAAACACCTCTCTTTTCTCTCTCTCTTGATATGTTTAACCTCTCTGCCTCGCTTTCACTTCTTTCTGCCTTTTCCCTGACTGTTCCCCTTCTCCCAGAGCGAATCTTTTAGATTGAAGGAACCTCTTTTCAAATGGGCTTGTAAACACTGACCCTCGTCAAAATGATGGCACCATAAATGTCCCACACTTTCAGGTTTCTGGCTTAAAATTCCTGCCTGTTCTGTTAAAGGACTGGACTTTAACATTAGGCCGCATGGGCTATCCAATGAAGCCAATAATCGATTAACGATGTGAAAACTTTGATCTTCCCTCCAGCCGAAAAGTAACCCAAAACCAGTTCAGCGACATCGAACCCATCGCCACAGGACCCTCTGTCCTTGTCCTGAAATTGGCAGTGGGCACAATGGTTCCTGTTGGCACCCCTTCGGGGTAACCCTCTACTGTCTGTGTACCTATGGCCAGGGCAGTGACTGAATGGTTAAGGATTTTCTATCCCTGCTCTGCTGCTTGTTGGTTCAGGAATATTGCTGTCCTGCTGTCTACTTTGAGGTATCTCTGCCAATTAATTGTCTATGGTGGTCGGGATTCTAGTGTATGAATCACACAAAAACCAGCAGCCAAGCTCACTGGGTAATGGGAGACGTAAATGGAATGTTGCCCTCATTTCAAAGGGAATGGAGCGTCCAAATAGGAGAGTCCTTGCTAAAACTGTACAAGGCACTGGTCAGACCAGAGCTGGAATAGTATGAACAAGTTCTGGTCTCCCTTTCCTAAGGGAAGGTACATTGACATTAGAGGAAGTGCTGAGAAGGAGACAGTAGGGACTGCAGGTGCCAGAAGCCAGAGTCTATAGATGTGGAACTGGAAAAGCACAGCAGGTCAGACAGCATCCGAGGAGCAGGAAACGTTTCAGGCAGAAAACGTTTCGGTCCTGACAAAGGGTTTCGTCCCGAAACGTTGACTTTCCTGCTCCTCGGATGCTGTCTGATGTGCTTTTCCAGTTCCACCTCTATTGACTCTGGAGTCCAGAGAAGGTTCACTTGGTTGGTTCTGGGAATGGAGGGATTTTGTTATAAGTGGACATGGAGTGGTTTTGGCTTGTACTCATTGGAGTTTATGAGAACGAGAGGGTTAGGGTTAGGTAAAATTTATATGAAATGTATAAAATTTTTAGGGGACTTGACAGGTTAGATGTAGAAAGGTTGCTCCCACCTGTGAGAGAGTCTAGAACCAGAAGACATAATCTCAGAGTAAGGATTCATCTAGTTAGGACAGAGATAAGGAGGAACTTTTTTATCTCAGGGGATAGTGAATCTGTGATATTCTTTGTCACAGCACAATGTTGAGGCTGGGTCATTCAAGGTTGAGACAGACAGATTTTTAATCAGGAAGGGGAATTAAGGGTTGTCGGGGAAAAGACAGGAAAGTGGAGCATAAATTCCCTGGAGTGTGTAAACAGGCCCTTTGGCCCAACAAGCCCACATTGACCCTCAAAGCATCCCACCCAGACCCATCCCCCTAATCTATGCATCCCCAACCACTATGGGGAATTTAGCATGGCCAATCCACCTAGCCTGCACATCTTTGGACTGTGGGAGGAAACTGGAACGGACCCACACAGACACGAGGAGAATGTGCAAACACCACACAGACAGTTGCCAAAGAGTGGAGTCGAACCCAGGTCACTAGCGCTGTGAGGCAGCAGTGCTAACTACTGGGCCACTGTGCCACCCATGGCAAATTATCCTCGGATTATCAGATAGCAATGATCTCACTGAATGGCAGAGGATGGGCTGAATGGCCTACTTCTGCTCTGAAGTCTTCTGGGTCTTATGGGAGAGTAAGCTGCAGGTTTCTGAATTGCGAATTCCACAGCCATCTCGTTCACATAATTGAAAAGCCTCCAGGGACCCCCATACCCCAGTTTGAGAGCCACAGTCCTTGCCGCCTTCCATCCATTGTTTTCTAATCGAGAGCTTTGTTTACCCCTAAGGTACAATGTGAAGAAACTCCATTGGCTATCCATACCAGATCCAGGCAAATTCTTTTACGAGCTGAATGCAACCTACGGAGGCAATTTTCAGGTACGTTAATTCTTCTGACATAATATCGTCACTTCATTTTTGTTTTCCAACGGAAATGCAGAAAATGTACAGCACCTAAGTGAACATTCAGCCACATCCTGTCTCTGATAAGGAGGAGAGCAGTCCAGCCTTATTCTGCTCTTGGTCCACAGTATCATGGCTTCCAGCTCTTCAATGGCACGTCTTTTTAAATGTGATGAGGTTATCTCCCTCTTCCACCAGGCAGTGAATTCCGCAATATTCGGCACTCAATTAACACCGCCAAAGGCAGACTATCCGGCCAGTATCACAGTATTCTTTGTGGGAGCTTGCTGTGCACAGATTAACTGCCGTGCTTCTTACACAAGTATCCTGCCGCAAGACGTTGTCTAATTTGATACGTTGCTGCAAGAAAAGTTCACAGCTCCACCAGGGAAACAAACTTTGACTGTCTCCTTCCCATGTCCTTGAGATGTAGCTCCTTTGAACCACCACCACAGATGTCACTGAGCAGTCCCTGTGCAGATTTAGGCAGCCATTTAAATGCAGCGTGCTGAATGGCAACTTCGACAAGTTATCCCAGCTGCTGTCCCCAACTAGACTGCATTTAAGAGTGAGATCGAAAGAAATGTCCCCCCCACCCCTCAGAAGTTTGTAAATCTGTGGAATTCTTTACCGCAGATGGCTGTTGAGGCAGGGTCATTAAGTTATAGAGCTGTACAGCACAGCAACAGATCCTTCGGTCCAACCCATCCATGCTGACCAGATATCCTGAATTAATCTAGTCCCACTTGCCAGCATTTAGCCCATATCCCTCTAAACCCTTCCTATCCATATACCCATCCAGATGCCTTTTAAATGTTGTAATTGTACCAGCCTCCGCCACTTCCTCTGGCAGCTCATTCCATACACATACCATCCTCTGTGTGAAAAAGTCGCCCCCTCAGGTCTCTTTTAAATCTTTCCCCTCTCACCTTAAACCTAGTTTTAATCACCCATATTTAGTGTCTCACTAATGTGATTGAGTTTTTTGAAGTAGTGTCAAAGAAGACTGATGAATGCAGAATGGTGGACGTTGCCTATATGGACTTTGGCAAGGCGTTCGACGAGCTACCACATGGTAGACTGGGTTAGCTTACGTGGAATCCAGGGAGAGTTAGCCATTTGGCAAAATTGGCTTGAAGATTGGAGACAGAGCGTGGTGATGGAGGGATGCTTTTTGGGCTGGAGACCTCCGACCAGTGGTGGGCAGCGAAGATCGGTGCTGGGTCCACTGGTTTTTGTCACTTATTTAAACGATTTGGATGTGGAATATAGGAGGAATGGTTAGTAAGTTTGCAGACAACACCAAACTTGGTGGTGTGGTAGACAGTGAAGAAAGTTACCTCAGAGTACAACAGGACTCCCCAATCCTGGGAAAAGATCTTGGCTATTCACCCTATTCATGTCCCTCATGATTTTATAAACCTCTATAGGGTCGCCCCTCAGCCTCTGATGCTCCAGGGAAAACAGCTCAGCCACAACATGACCTCCCAACTCCTATACTCAATGCACTCACCAAACTCCTTCTTCACTACCCTGTCTATCTATGACTCCAACTTCAAGGAACGAATGAACCTACACCTCAAGGCCACTTTGCTTGGCAACATTCCCCAGTACCATACCATTAAATGCATACGTCCTGCCCTGGTTTGCCTTACCAAAATGCAACACCTCACATTTATCTAAATCAAACTCTGTCTGCCACTCTTCAACCCATCGGCCCACCTGATCAAGGTCCTGTTGTACTCTGAGGTAACTTTCTTCACTGTCTACCACACCACCAAGTTTGGTGTTGTCTGCAAACTTACTAACCATTCCTCCTATATTCACATCCAAATCGTTTAAATAAGTGACAAAAACCAGTGGACCCCGCACTGATCCTCGCTGCCCACCATTGGTCGGAGGTCTCCAGCCCGAAAAGCATCCTTCCATCACCACACTGTGTCTCCAATCTTCAAGCCAATTTTGCCAAATGGCTAACTCTCCCTGGATTCCACGTAAGCTAACCCAGTCTACCATGCGGTAGCTCGTCGAACGCCTTGCCAAAGTCCATATAGGCAACGTCCACCATTCTGCATTCATCAGTCTTCTTTGACACTACTTCAAAAAACTCAATCACATTAGTGAGACACTAAATATGGGTGATTAAGTGCAGTCAAGGCTGAGACAGACTGATTTTTGATACATGAAGGGAATCAAGGGTTAAGAGGATAAGGCAGGAAAGTCGGGTTTGTTGATAATCAGGTCAGTCATGATCGTGTTGAATGGAGGAGCAGACCAGATGGGCCAAATGGCCTAAACTGCTCCTATCTTATGGTCTTATTGATGCCACCTCATTAAAATATTTCCTAATTTTCCAGACACGCTCCCACTTCCAAATCTAACCCTCCAAGGGCTGAAACAGCTCCTTCCCATCTATTGAAATGCATTAGTGGACTCATTATTCATAGTATCACAAGATGCTAGTTTATTGTATGCTCCCAAACCAAACATGCATCATAACCCATATCACTGCCTTCCAAGATAAGTTCCACCACTACAACATCGCAGAAGTACTACGCTGTTAAATATATTAAAAGTGTGGCAACTCTCCTAATCTCAGGGCATTTCAAAATGCTTTACAACCCTTGAAGAACTTCATAAGTGTGGTCATCATGTAGAGAAACAGCAGCCAATTTGCACACACAACCTCCCTTGGAGAGCAATGTGAAAATAACCAGAATTGTTATGGCACAGAAGGAGGCCATTCAGCCCATTGTGGTTGCTCTGGTTCAATGACCCAGTGCCAATCTCCTGCCTTTATCCTCATACCCTGCACACTATTTCTATCCAACTAGTCATCCATTGCCTCTCTCAGATGCCTCAATTGAACCTGCCTCCACAATACTTCCAGGCAATGCTTTCCATGCTCTAAATACTTGCTGAGTCAAAGAGTTTTTTTTTGTCACATCATCCTTAATTTGTTTGCACATCTCTTTAAAACTCCACTGTTTCGTTCGTGTTGTTTTCATGAATGATTTTATCACCTATTTTAGCGACACCAGTTAAGGGACAAATCAGTCAGGGTATCCATTTTGCTTCAAATCATGTTGCTCACATCCATTGAGAGAGTAGATGTTTCATTTAGATAGCAACACTTCCTAACAACACTGCACTCAGATGTCAGCCTGGAAAATGGGCTGAAGACTATGAAGTAGCGAGGTGAATCTCTGGCTCAGTGCCACGACCCAATTCTGAACGAACGCTGAGAAATGTAGCAGGGCTATAGGGCTAGAGTGAGCCTGGTAAGAAGTGATCTCTTGCTTCGGTTGAGCTAAGTAACATTGGGTTTTGTCCCTTAGAAGAAGCCTGTAGGGGAACGTCGAATAAAGACGCAACCGAAATCTTACAATGACCTTTGAAAATGATTCTGCTGACTGAACAGTGTCTTGAGTCATTGTTCTACCGTGAGATGTTAGTAGGTTAAAAACCACATGGGTTACAGATAGGAAATATCAGTTTGATGGCTTATCTTCAAAATATTAATAAGTAGTTCTTTTTCTTCTTTAGAACATAGAACATAGAACATTACAACGCAGAACAGGCCCTTCGGCCCTCAATGTTGCGCTGACCTGTGAAACCTATCTGAAGCCCATCTACACTATTCCATTATCATCCATATGTTTATCCAACGACCATTTAAATACCTTTAAATTTGGCGAGTCTACCACTGTTGCAGGCAGGGCATTCCACGCCCTTACTACTCTCTGAGTAAAGCACCTACCTCTGACATCTGTCCTATATCTATCACCCCTCAATTTAAAGCTATGTCCCCTCGTGCTAGCCATTCTTTGTGGTTTGATTTCAAATCTATGCCAAATCACGTGCATGCATGTGGATTCAGGTCTCTTTCATAAAACAATTTAAAAAGACAGGCCTGACCGTAAAATTTGATCTCCTTTTCTTCTTTTCACACTCCAGTTAATGGTTCAACAATTGCAGCATCCAGTATTCAGGCCCTTTACAGATTGGGAAGCAAAGCTAAACACACATTTTTCTTTCTTGCTCATTTCTGATTCTTGTCCTTGCCATCATTGACACTTGGCACCCTGGTGGTGTCCTTTCGAGACCCTGGGTTATCGATCAAAGCTTTCTTTCTCTCTCTCTCTTAGCTTAAAGGCGGAAAACCACAAACACTGCTGGAACATTTAGCTTTCAATTAAAGTAAAATCCTTTTGTGAAATGGTGCGGCAATTATGGGCAAGCAGAAGTTATTCTTGCTTGACAGTTTGGTGTCCACCAAAGGGAGCATGCTCCATAATTCTCGAACTCTTCTACTTCTGAAGTGCCCACCTTTCGTGGTACCAAAGTTCCACCGAGCCTCTGTCACAGAAGTACCTCCTCTGGATAAAAATCAGCTGTACAACTAAACACAATGTTTTTAATGTGAAATTTGCTGCAGATGGGCACCAGATGGAGGGACATGGGTTTCAGATCAAGGGGCACAGGATTTATATCAAGGGACATGGGTTTCAGATCAAGGGACATTCATTTCAGATCCCAGGGCATAGGTTTTGATCAAAGGGCATGGGTTTTAGATCAAGGGGCGTGGGTTTCAAAACAAGGGATGTGGGTTACAGATTCCAGGGCATGGGTTTTGATCAAAGGGTATGGGCTTTAGATCAAGGGGCATGGGTTTCAAATCAAGGGGCATGGGTTTCAGATCAAGGGACATGTGTTACAGATGGAGTGGCATAGGATTCAGATCAAGGGGCATGGGTTTCAGATCCAGGGGCATGGGTTTCGGATCCAGGGACATGAATTTTAGATTTAGGGGCATGGGCAAGGGTTGTAGGGACATGTTCCTGCGAACATCTTTGTACCTCCACGAGCTCAATGTTCAGTCACTACCCCATTAGTGGATTCAAGCACTAGGGGGAGAAAGAGAGGGGTTGGGTGGCATGCACTGTCAGAACATAGTAACAGGAGTAGTCTATTCAGCCCTTCGAGCCTGTTTTGATATTCAATGCGATCTGATTGTGTAATCTAGCTTGACATACCTGCCTTTGGCCCATATCCTTTAACACCTAAGATAAACAAAGAAAATTTATTTCGGGTTTAAAATTGACAACTGATCTAGCATCCACTGCCAATTATGGAAGACTTTTTTTCACATTATCACTGTATTTTTAGCACACCCCTTTAAATACTTCTCAGTCTCCCATTTCCCTGTTCCAGGCTAGTTCAGAACTTCTGGTGTAGATCATTCCCCTATCCCCAGAAGTATTCAGTCCAGTCTGGTACGCACACAGCAGTTACAGAGCTAACAAGCTGACAAAGCAGCAGAGCACAATTCTTGTGATTTTTTTATTATTCATTTGTGGGATGTGGGCATCACTGGCTGGGACCAGCATTTATTGCCCTAGTTGCCCCTTGAGAAGGTGGGGGTGAGCTGCCTTCTTGAACCGCTGCAGTCCACCTGCTGTGGGCTGACCCACAATGCCCTTAGGGAGGGAATTCCAGGATTTTGACCCAGCGACAGTGAAGGAACGACGATATATTTCCAAGTCAGGATGGGGAGTGGTTTGGAGGGAAACTTGAAGTTGGTGATGATTCCATGTATCTGCTGCCTTTGTCCTGCTAGATAGAAATGGTTGTAGTTTTGGAAGGTGCTGTCTGAGAATCTTTGGTGAATTTCTGCAGTGCATCTTGTAGGCAGTACACACTGCTGCTACTGAGCGTCGGTGGTGGAGGGAGTGGATGCTTGCGGATGTAGTGCCGATCAAGCGGGCTGCTTTGTCCTGGATGGTGTTGAGCTTCTTGAGTGTTGTTGGAGCTGCACCCATCCAGGCAAGTGGGGAGTATTCCATCACACTCCTGACTTGTGCCTTGTAGATGGTGGACAGGCTTTGGGGAGTCAGGAGGTGAGTTACTTGCCATAGTATTCCCAGCTTCTGACCTGCTCTGTAGCCACTGTATTTATGTGCTGAGTCCAGTTGAGTTTCTGGACAATGATAACCCCCAGGATGTTGATAGTGGGGGATTCATTGATGGTAATACCAAGGGGCGGTGGTTAGATTATCTTTTACTCGTGACGGTCATAGCCAGGCATTTGTGTGGTGTGAACGTTACTTGCTACTTGTCAGCCCAAGAGCACTTCTACAGGTTACAGGTGATTAACAAAATAGAAGCATTTTTGCCCTATGTTGCTGGGAGGAAAGTTGACCTGAAATTGTTGCTTCTTCTGTCAACATTTGATGCTAAAGATTATCAAGGGACATGAGGATAGTGTGGGAAAATATTGAAGCAGTTATGTTCTACTTGAACAGTAGAGCAGGTTCAATGGACTGTATTTCCTATTTCCCATGTTCCTAGGATCTGGGACTTGTTGTACTGGTCTTTATATTTCGTTCCAGTTAGGTGTAACTACAGGAAATGGCAGAAGCCAGGGCTTACACATCTGTCTCCATCAGGGCCTTGACTCTATGTCTCTACTGTATTGGATGCATCTATCACGTGGCATCATCAGATTGGGCAGCGTTTCAGCATTAACTCTTTTCAAACCTTTAGCTTACACAACCAACACTTTCAAGAATAAGGAGAGAAAATGCTCTAATGCACTCAGTCAGTGAGGGTATTTTGTTGGAAAGAAAATCAAAGTTAATGGGCCTGTTTTTAATTCTGCATACGGGGGTGGGTTTTCAGCCAGTTAAAATCAGGCCCACTTCAGGTCTGAAACAGAAGCATGAGGTAGAAGAGCAGAAATTCTGTCCCTCAGGGTATGTGGTGGTGTAGTAGTATTGTTATTGATCGAGTAATCCAGAGACCCAAGGTAATTCTAAGGGGACATGGGTCCCCACCACTTCAGATGTTGAATTAATGGAAATCTGGAATTCTTACAGTGTGGAAGCAGGCCACTTGGCCCATTGAGTCCACATCCCAACCTTCCAAAGAGCATCCCACCCAGACCCACCTCATTCTTGTAACCCTACATTTTCTATGGCTTATCCTCCTAAGATGCACACTATGGGGCAATATAGCATGGCCAGTTCACCTTTGCACAGCTTTGGTCTGTGGGAGGAAACCAGACCACCCCAGACAGAGGGAGAATGTGCAAAATTCACACAGTGGGTGGAATTGAATGTGGGTCTCTTGCACTGTGAGGCAATAGTATTAACTATTGAGCCACCTTGCCACTTATTAAGAGTAGCCATTAAGGGTAAGACCACATTTGGAGCATTTCATAGAATCCCTACAGCATGGAAACAGACCATTCAGCCCATCAAGTTCACACTGACCCTCCCTGTAACCCTGCATTTCCTATGGCCAATCCACCTAGCCTGCACATCTGTGGACTGTGGGAGGAAACCGGAGCACCTGGAGGAAACCCACGCAGACACAGGGAGAATGTACAAACTTCACACAGGCAGTCACCCGAGGCTGGCATCAAACCTGTATCCCTGGGGCTTTGAGGAAGTAGCGCTAACCACTGAGCCACTGAGTACAGTTCTGTTTAGAGGGATATGGACCAAATCCAGACAAATGAAACTAGTTCAGTACAAGAAATCTGGTCAGCATGGATGAGTTGGGCTGAAGGTTCTGTATCCATGCTGTACGACTCTGTGTCTCTATTGGTGACACTGTCAATTGTGGTTTCAAACCCTTCTAGTTCATTAATATCCTTTAAGGAAGAAAATCTGCCATCCTTTAACTGGTTTGGCCTACATGTGACTCCAGACCTGCAACTATGTGGTTGACTCTTAAACGTTCTGTGAATGGCGTTAGCAAGCCACTCAGTTCAAGGGCAGTTAGGGATGGGCAATAAATGTTGGCTCAGCCAGCAATGTTCACATCCCAAAACGATGCTTCTACTCAGAGGATTTTGCCGCTTTGTTTGCCAAAGTATAGTAAGCGACTACACTTTAAAAAGCAATTAATTGGCTGTAAAGCATTTTGGAATGTCTCGAGGTCATGAAAGATGCAATACAACTGCAAACCATCTCTTTAGCTGACTAACTACTCACATCTTCACCTATCTCGTGCTTAAAATGTGTTTCTTTTTTCCATCCTGGCAGAAATGGCTTGGGTCGACATTGCCAGCATCATTCAACAGCACCGAGGACCTAGGAACAGAAATCTCTTCAGTTGAGGTTTCAGAAATAAAAGATTCAGAGTCCTTCATCAAACAGGATTACGTCTCGGACAGCAGTGGATTCAAGAGTATGGGAAATTCATCTCTGTCCAGCTTTGCGAACCAAGGCTACTTCTGGTTTAGGTATCCCAGCACTTATGAAGTGGATTCTTGTAAAGTTTATTTTAGCTATGACCGCAGCAGCCTTCAATCAGGAAGTGAGGGCAGTGGGTCATATCTAGAGAAGAATGGGTCTTGCCCGACCTTGTCCAATGATTCTCTATATGACAGCAGTCAGCAGAATTCACCCTGTAGCGTCTTTGTAACAGATCCAGATCAGGAATGCATCTCAACTCAAATTAAAGCCAGTGGAAAGGCCTCAACTGATGAAGAAGTGGATGATCCACCAAGAGGACCTGAGGATCCTACCAATGTAAAATCCTCAGGCGAATTGGGGTACCTTGGACAACTGCTAAGAAATGATTGTCCATCCAGAGGAAGTCAAGAGGGTCTCAATCCGATCGTCCAGATGCACCTATTTGAACATTTGAACTACCCCTTTGTTTCTCTGGAGGACATAGCATTTACAACAAAACAGGAAGGTATCAGCAGATGTGATTCTGACAGCTTAATGTTTGGCGAGAGTCAGATGGGACCTCCACCCATCAACATGGAAAACATCATGAGTGCACAATGTCCTCTCGATGGGTTTAAGCAGGAAAGCGCCAATATTCTTAAGAGCACATCTCTAAATCTGGGGCAGTCTAGTGATGCATATCTTTCCCTTAAGGAAGTTCAAAGTAAATACAGTAACCAGTCAATTTAGAATGGATTTTAATAAGGATTGAATAGTCGTAGGTCAAATATTTGCACTATTGAGACTGGATGTGCATTTAGCTTTGTCCTCATCCAAAGAGACAATCCAACATCTATTTCTCTTCATAACTGTGTCCTTGGGATCATTTATGTCCATCACAGAGCTCAGACAAGGCTTGACTTAATTATCTCATCCAAAGGACTTTGATGAGTGCAACACTCCCCAGAATTCACAAGCCTGCCTCAGTGTGAGATTTGAACGCAGCACCTCTAACACTGAGCCAGAGCTGACATGAACATTTTGTCGCTGTGTGGTTTGGAGTTTTGAAAGGCCGGGCTTCATTCATGTTTAGCTGATGACTCACTTGGTAGCACAGCTAACACAGCTCTTTGAGGACCACCTTCCAAACACATGAACTATACCATACAAGAGACCAGATATTTGGGAACAACAGCAGCTACAAGTTTCCCTCCACACACCACTTGGAACTATTTTGTTGCTCCTTAACTGTCGCTAGATATAAATCATGGAACTCCCTCTCTAACAGCACCCTGAACACCAAACGGGACCGCAAAAAGGCAGCTCAGCACCACCTTCTCCATGGAAATGACGCATTGGCATAGCCAGCAATGCTGACATCCCATGAATGAACAACTGAAAAAAAAACCCTAATGGAAGAAAAAGAACTTGCATTGCACTTAGCATTCCAATTTGCATACACCCACATTCCCATGAACAAAATTACAGCAGGGTCACAAATAGCCATTGAGGTGGGAGGAGGATGAAGACAGGCAAAGTTCAGGCGGCTTAGATCCCACTTGACAAAATCAGGATAAAGCCAGGGACAGCAAGCGAAGCCTAGAAAAGGATAAATGAGTGTACGTTTTGTCATTAATAAGCTACATGTTAAAGGGCCTGTTCTCGAAGGAGCTGAGACTGAAAAGGAAAGGTCAAAGAAACCCCAGGTCCTTTTTTGTTGACTTTTCGAGGTTGCACACATTTTGGTACAATTGCTGCATGGACTCAGAGGAGAAGAAAGTCAGCCCTGTTTTGTGCTCCCTGCTGGAAAGCATTGTACTTACATACTCTGCCTTGATGCTTAGCCTAAAAACGGAGCTGATGAGCTTGCCAACCCCTTCCTTTTGTAAAGAACAGCCATTTTTTTGTAAACTGAATCATTGGGTAACTCATGGAAAGGAAGGGAGGAATAAAAAAATGCTGGAAAGCTATGTTTTCAAAACAAAATCTCAACTGATTCTCACAAAATAATGGGAGCTCTTTGAATATGCTTACAATCAATGCAGGATTTGCTGATAATGTAGCATTAGATGTGTCATTTTAAATTCATTTTTCTTGAAGTGTTTTGTCAAACGTGTCAGAGTTATATTTATTGAAAGGGTACTTTGCAACTTGTTTCAAATATTGTGGCTTTTAGGGGATCAGCATCAGGAACGATGATGATGATGCTAATCCTTCACCTCATGTACAAATGGAGCAAGAGTGGAAAACTGTAGCAAAAATTGTAGCAAAACTCACAAAGGCTACTTAGCCACGGAATTCCAATCTAACGCAACATAAAAAGCAAGGCAGTACTTCACCCATTTCCAACCTGGCATCTAACAGATGGCAACAAAACAACACGGATTGCAACAAGGGTCTATTCATCCATAGCAAGAGTTAAAGTAGAAAATGGCTTGACTGTTCATTGGAGATGGTCCAGAGGCAGCTGGATAACCAGATGTTCTACTCCCCTGGATCTACTGCGATGTCTTCAATGAGTTAACAGGATGACCGCAATCTGTTAACTGTGGACCACCCTCAAAGTGGAACCATTACTAACTGACCAATGTGTACGCCACTGGAATGTGTTAATCAAATACACCAGGTTCTATTATCCACCTGGATGCCAATGGGACCACAGTCATTGCCTCTGCTGACTGTGAACCCTTCAGTGTTGAGCACTGAAAGCTGCAAGAAGCAGATGTTAGCCTCTCAGAGAGTCCAGGATTATGAGGAGCCAGCAGGATGGTGGAGCTGAGGGCAGGAGGACGATAGCATTGTGGTTGGTCGATTGGCATGAGTTCAAATCCTGCCATGATGTCTAGAGGAAAATTAAATTCAAAACTGGAATAAAATCAGATTTTGGTTAAAATTATGAAACTGCCAGTCTATTGGAAATGGTTTACTGATAGCGCAAAGAGGCAGGGACCTGACATCCTTACCTGGTCTGGCCTATGTGGTTGACTCTTATGGCCTAAAAGCCATTTTTATTCAAATGTGGAGCAGGCTCAAGGGACTGTATGGTCAAGTCATAGAAATCACAGTATCCCTACAGTGTGGAAGCAGACCATTTGGCCCATTGAATCTATACTGACCCTCCAAACAGCATCCCACCTCATCCTTGTAACCCTGTATTTCCCATGATTAATCTACCTAGCCTGCATATCCTTGGACACTATTGAGCAATTTAGATAAAAACCGAAAGAACTGCGGATGCTGTAAGTCAGGAACAAAAACAGAAGTTGCTGGAAAAGCTCAGCAGGTCTGGCAGCATCTGTGAAGGAGAAAACAGAGTTAACGCTTTGAGTCTGATGACCTCAACTTAGCACAGCCAATCCATCTAACCCACACATCTTTGGACTGTGGGAGGAAACCCACACAAGCACAGGGAGAACGTGCAAACACCACACAGATAGTCACCCGAGGCTGGAATCAAACCTAGGTCCCTGTTGCTGTGAGGCAGTAGTGCTAACCACTGAGCCACCAATGCACATAAGATGAAGTATCCATTTTGTGACTGTCATGTTGTATGTTTCAGGTAATTACCCTGAAGGAATTATAAACTATATGACAAACTGAAGGGCCTCCTTTGGAGCCATTGTTTTGTTTTTGTATTTTTTATATAATTTCCTAAATGTAAGGAAGTAGATGCTCACCAAAATCTACTGGATTTCCCAGTAACAATTTCCATAAACTTGTTTGTTGTTGACGTCAGATCACTGTGTCAACATTTAGAAGTATAACAGCAAGCTTTGCATCTGTATAGAGTCTTTTATCACTTGTGTATCCACAATACTTCAGAGGCAAGGAAAGTGCTTTTGGTATACAGCTATTGCTTGGCTCATGGGATTCAACCGATGCTATGTAAAGTCTTGTAATATAGGTAATTCCAGATCTTAAATATTGTTGTTTTTTAAATTTAATATTGAATGAACGGATTGTGAAGTAGTCATTCGATTCAGTACAATTTGAATGCCTTGGCGTCTCTCTCAAATGTTTACTGCAGCACTTCAGGAATAATTGTGTGAATTTCTCCCTGAGTCTGGAAGATGGATATGTAATAAGTATAGTGTTCATTCTAGTAGGATCCTCTGGGACAATGGTGAGTTTACCTTAGCTTACAACGTATATTACTCAACCATAGTTGATTGAAAATGAAATGACCATATCCCCAACAGGATTGGAATATAGTCATAGAGTCATACAGCACAGAAACAGACCCTTCGGCCCAACTTGTCTATGCCAACCAGGTTTCCTAAACTGAACTAGTCTCACTTGCCTGCATTTGGCCCATATCCCTCTAAACCTTTCCTATTCATGTACCCGTCCAAATGTCTTTTAAATGTTGTAATTGTACCTATCCCTATTACTTCCTCTGGCAGCTCATTCCATACACGCACCACCCTAATGTGTGAAAAAGTTGCCTCTCAGATCTCTTTTAAGCCTTTTGCCTCTCACCTTAAAGCAATGCCCTCCAGTTTTGAACTCTGCTACCCTGGGGAAAAGACCTTGGCTATCTATGCCCCTCGTGATTTTATAGACCTCTATAAGGTCACCCCTCGCTCCAGGAAAAAAAATGTCCACGGGCTAAAAAGGACAAGGCCAGTGGATACATGGAAACACCACCAACTGCAAGATCCCCTCCAAGGTACTCACCATCCTGACGCAGAAATTTATTGCCGTTCCTTCAGTGTTGGTCAAAATCCTAGATTTAGCAACATTACAGATGTATTCCCACTAAATTGACAGCAATAGTTCCACTTCCTTGAGGGGAATTAGGAACGGGCAATAAATGTTCATTTGTCTGCCATGCCCACATCCCATGAAATAATTGTTTAAATATTCACCTGGCAGGATGTCACTTTAAGCTGTTATCAGTTTTGTTATCAATCTTCTGATCTAAAGATCAACATAGAGGACACGGAGGCACAATTAACTTTACTGTTCAAACCCATTCTCTTCCTCTTAACCTTCATCCCCCATCACAATCGCTTGTTAATATTAATCTGTCTTGAAAAAAAGTCAGACTTGACTTGAAACATTAACTCTATCCCACTCTCCACAGACCAGCTGAATTCCCTTAGCATTCTCCATCTTTATTTGATATTACTCTCACACTGTTTCAAAAGATATGGAATTTATTTATTTGGACAGGTTGTTTAATCCACACAGCACTTTCTCCAAGAAAGAGGGGCAAACATTTTCATTAATTGTTCGATGACACTGAGGTTGTGCAAATTGAGTTCACTTTTCATGTCAGTAACATGAAATTTATGCGACTTGACTTGCCCTGTGGTTGGAATCCAGAAGTCCAAAAGGAAGTGTGCTTCAGATCCATAGAATCCCTACAGTGTGGAAGCAGGCCATTCAGCCCATTGAGTCCATGACCCTCCAAAGAGCATCTCACCTATTGCTTGGAATAGAATCTCCGCTAATGACCACAAAGCATGTCCATTCTTCACTTTCTCTCTCTCTCTCTCTCTCTCAAACACACACACAATGGAGTTTAGGATGAGGGAGGGATCTGACTGAAACTTACGAAATGCTGAGAGGCCTGGATAGAGTGGACGAATAGAAGATATTTCCACTAGTAGGAGAGATTAGGAACCCAAGGTCACAGCCTCAGAGTGAAGGGACGACACTTTAGAACTGAGATGAGGAGAAATTTTTTCAGCCAGAGGGTGGTGAATCAGTGGAACTCATTGCAGCAGAGCGCTGTGGAGGCGAAGACATTGAGTGACTTTAAGACAGAGATAGATGGGTTCCTGATTAGGAACGGGATCAAGGGTTACGGAGAGAAGGCAGGAGAAAGGGATTGAGAAACATATCAGCCATGATCGAATGGCAGAGCTGACTCGATGGGCTGAATGGCCTAATTCCACTCATATTTTATGGGCTCTCTCACTCTCTCATTCTTCAGTTCAGGGTGAGAATTTTCAACACACAGATCTCCTCCTTAGGATGAGAAGCGAAGCTACCCGGGGTTTGTCCAACAGGGTTTTACTACAGAGTGAGAAATATGATAATCTCTTTAGGCAAATACAAGTTAACCAATATAAATTCAGAATTGCAGCCAATGTGGCTCTTAAAACATTGATATTAGGGCAAAAATAAACATCAAACCCTTCCCAAAGTAAAATATTCCTCTTGAGCAACAGTATAAATTGAAGAGAAAGATTTATGACTGAGGTTCAACAACTGACGTCATCATTGGAGCAATCTTTTCAGTGCAGGGTAGGGATAGCAACCAATAAACAGGATAAATGGAAAGGTATTCAGAATTAAGCATTACAGAAGGACTTTGTGGGTACTGATAATTGCTTTGCGAAAGGTAACAGTTGCTGATAAATGTGTAACCCTTACTAGAAGATAGATTTATTGTTTGTTTTTCTGTGTTCAATGTATATAACAAATGTATTTTTATAAAATGTTTATTGATATTGTTTTATATAAACCGTAGAGTCATAGATTCATAATGTCCAAAATGTACTGCCCTCTGAACTGCTCAAGAACTAAAGTATTTTGTAAGGATGAATAAGTTCAATAAAATTTCTAATTTTTGGCTGCTACGTGCAGAGATGTGACTAACCATCTCCATTTCATATTGTTGTTCGGTTGGTAAGGTTTGTGAGAGGAAGCAAGGTACTGGGGGTGAGGG